TTTAAGAGAAAAAATAATAACTCGGCTGTTGAAAACTCATATAAAGAGTTATTCTTCTTTCCAATGTTAGCACACAGTTTTACATGTACCTTCACTATTGCTCACAGCGTTGAATAAGATCCAGAATACAATGTACTGATTTTTATTGAACCTGTAGATATTGATTGGTATTGCAAAGGAAAAGGGAAAAAATAAAATATTTAAAGATGATAAAGGAAAAGGGAAAAAACACTTAAAGATGTGAATAATAAAAACGCCCCTCCTTTTTTTTTTCTCTTCGCACTGCGCAGTACATTGTTGCTACATTATGAACAAAGACAGATAACTCAAAAAGGTCAAACAATAATCCGTTGTCGGTTTAGGCAGGGAAATTGTATTTAAGCATTTTAAATGGGGTTATTTTCAAGAAATCAGTGACTGACAGAGCAAATGGAAGTTATTCTAAAATGAACACCATAATTTTAAAGCCAGTGGAACCGATATAGCAAGAACATGCTATGATTACGATCAATTTTTAAGCGGGGTAGGCTTCTGAAAAATATTGATGTTACAGGGCATTGGAATTATTTCAGCTTTTCCAAAAATTTATGGTCGAAATAATGACCTTTATTGCAAATACAACGTAGCTTTGGGTCGTACTTTTACTGACATTTCGTATCAATTGTTAAGCCACTGTCTTACACTAATACTCCGTTTACCTGAACAATACAGAGAGCTCACCGACGGACCGGTCGACAGGGGATGTTTACTCCTCTTAGGCACCTGATCCCACCTCTGGTGTTTTCAGGGGTTCGCCTTTTCTTGCCCTGTTCAAGAATTGTATTATTTATGATTTAAGAGATTGATCACTATTCCCTACCTTCACCTTTTTTCATATATCCGTCAATTATTGGATATCGATTTCTTTGTCATAATCTTGTTCATTTTTTAATTTGTCGTACTATAAATTTCGAACTCAGCATGTAGCAGAAATACAAAATTTACAATTTGACAAATTCTTGAACCCTTTTTTCCACCCACTTGACTATCTGTACGTTACTTAGTTCCAACAGTATTTTGTGCGTTTCCCACACTAATTTTCTCAAATTGGATTGTAAAATCCTGAAATAAGTGGAAACTTTTTCTTGTTAGATTCTTCAGAAATCAAATAGGGATAAATTCTGTACAGCAAATTGCAAGGTTACTTTTATAATGACAAAATAAAATTTGCCTATGTGAGAGCCCAGTGATAATTAAATAAACGCGATCGCCGGAACGTAACACTTTAATCGATGCTGAATCCAACATCAACCTGTGGCTAGTCAAAGAGGCCCGGTGCTATGTACTCGTTATAGGAGAAATGTAATGTCTTTTGTCTAATAAATCGCTTCCGGGGGAAAGGTAGATATTCCAGCTTCGTGCCTCTGGATGGAAAAATCTATCGGTGATTGATCTCTTGGGTTTGATTTATACTCCGTCTACACTAGCTGACTACTTCCGGACCAATGTTTGGCTGCTCGCCATTAAAAGGAATGATAGAATTCCAATACAGAAAATAAGCATTACAATTGGTTTATTGGGAGTTCTTTTGATTTCTCATTAATGAATTTCCTTTCTTGAAAACTACCTTATAGATACATGTATTTCAAGGCCAATCATTTGCCTCTTTTGTTTATGGTATTAAACTGCATGTTTCTCTCTTTGGTTGGATTACTTAAGAAGTAAATGAATTCCAGTATTACTTTAAACCATACACTCAAGAAAGGAAGTTTCAAACGTTCTTGAAAAGCAATATGGTGAATCTTGAATAAGAAGTTTTATTTCGCTTTTTGATTTTTTGAAAACTTAATCTAAAGAGGTGACGTTAAAAATATGCATGTCATGCATTTACAAAATGTTTATGCTTTGCGAATTCACATCACAGATCGCTAAAAATTTGCTGAGGAAAAAATGGGAAAAAATTTATTGATTGGGTTCATTAAAATTTCATACGTTTAAAGAGCGGTTTCAGAGTTATAACCTGTTGAAACATCACGGTAATTTGTCATGCAAGAACAATATAACTCTCTTAGGAGAAAACAATCCCACATTTTGAAATTCAATTGACAAATTTGTATCCTTGTAGTAATTAATTATTCTTAATTGTTTAACGTCCATCTCACTACGTTTGGCGTAAATAGAGAAATTGACTCTAGAAAATATATTTTTCGTTATCTTCATCTAGTTTGGTATTCACGTTACTACTGAAAGAATCACACACACACACACACACACACACACACACACATTAATCATACAGATAATAAGTCAAATTTAAGATGAACAAGACTTAGTTATCTTTATTTAGCACGATTACTAGGAATATCAATGTCAATGTGTAGCTCCAAGGCCATATATGTGTGTTTATTTTAAATTAGTATTATAATTTTAGCTATATTCTGAGCCAAAGGCTCAATTGCTAAGCTATGGCCTGGCGTGTGGTGAGCGTAAAGTTTTTTGAATGTGGGCCGTATCTCAAGAAACCTTGGCCAATTTATACAAATTTGTCACAGATTTTGGCCAAGGACTTTTAAGTTATACTAAATAAAGGGATAAGGGGAGCTAATTCAGAAATATAAAAAAGTGGTTGCTAAAAATCTTTTTCTCATGAACCACTGGACAGATTATCACCAAACTTAGACATAAGGATGAGGATACGTTGTAGATTGTTCAAGGGATCATCCGAGTGCAAAGGGCGTTGTCTGAAGGTCACTTCTAAATTAATATAACATTATTTTTGTTAAAACTTTGCTATTTTGCACACACTGTGAGGACTAAGATCATCAAATCTAGTCAGTTGATGTATCTTAGGACCTCGTGTTTGAAGCCTACGATCATAAAAAAATCTTGTCAGTTGATGCATCTAAAGGAAAATTTACTATTATAAAGCAAAATACTATACCCAGAAAAACTTTTACGGGCCTGAATACAAAGTTTAATTTGTATGATGTCAATTGCTGCGATGTATCTATAAAATACTTGAATAAATTTAAAAGTTTAAATTTTCTTCATGCCTTTGTCTCCATCCCGGGGGTACAATACGCGAAGGATTCGTCTGTTGATTCATTTAAACGGAAAGTGAGTGGAAGAACCAAACATTTATAGTATACCAGTTTAGTGTATTAAAATGGATTCTCAAATTACAGGTATACTCCTACCAGTGTCTTTTAAGAAAAAGCAAGCTTTGTGTAAAACTAGAAAATTTTTGAAAAATATATCAGACTTTAAGATAGTCATTGTGGTCTGTACACCTGTTTAGCTCTAATAATGGAATTGAAACACGTTTGAAAAAAACACCATTCAAGGAAGAGTATATTGCGTAGCGGGTCTCTTTAACTTTGTCAAGCATTGGAAATGTGCTTATTGAGGCAAATAATGTCAAGCTCTCGGTAAATAAAATATTTACCTCCATGTACACACCTTACATCGCTAAATGATACTCGGTAGACATTGAAATCAAATGTTAAAACGTTCCCTTAAATCGATGCGTTTTTTTTTCATTTGGTGCCTGACTCTTTTAGAAAATATTGAATAAGCTTCATTTATATCCTCTATTAATGCCTTCCATCAAGCGAAGAAAAGCAACAGTTGATCATTGTTCAGGTTGTCGATAAGTATCTAGTGTAGTGAAAGCGAACCTCTTGCAATATTGGAAAATTAAAATTGATGTGTTTAGCTCTACAGGTACCTACCTGGAGATCGAATTTTCAATTTTTAACGGTTAGGTGATATTTAACCGAGGATCGATGTGCATACAAAAGCTTGATAGGACCTCGAATGGTAAAGAACCAACTTAAACAGATTTGGATCGATATGGCGGACAATGTATCGCGGTACAGGATTCAAGATGAGGTCGACAAATGTACTGCAAAAATTAGAATTAGTGTCTTTGCACATTTTTATCATAATTGATTTAATCTTTAAATTTAAAAATTTAACATGAAATTAAACTTGCTGAAAAACCATCTGTAAGTCCATTATAACCAGAGGTACTCCTGGTAGCGACTAAATCCATTGATGCGTGTCGACAATGTTTATGAAATGTAATTATTTTCATCTTTTCTCATTTATTAAAACAAGATATGAAATTATAAAATCGGCATGATCTATACTGGCATGAAAATAAAATGACGCTATAAACTTTCATGGAAAGGAGGGTTGGGGGTGGGGGCTTCATTTTCTCAGAAACAATGTATCTATTTACAAAATAACAAAATAGTTCTTTTTTAAAGTCGTTTATTCAACATTAACGTTTAAAAGACAAAGGTAATACTGATAGCGGCGATATTGCACATGTTCCAGAAAAACAAATCCTCTCGTGAGGTTAGAGGAAAAGAAGAAATAACAAATAAGAGTGAAATATAATTTGGAAATATAATGAATGTACAAGGTGATCATTATTACTAAACATTTTCGAAAAGAAATACATGTGAAAATTCTGCACTTATGTGAAATAAAATGTTTAATGATGGTAAAAAATGTTAAAATTTAAGATAATCAAAAAACAACTTAAAGCTGCCAAAGCAGACAACAGCATGACCAAGGTCAGGTATGTACAAAGTCACAACCGTAAAGAGAGCTTGAATGCAATGTAAAATTAATACATTCTAAAATTCTGTCTACGATTGAAAACACAACGATTTGCTACTCACATAAAGACACCATCTTTTGATGTCTTTCTTACATGTTCGACTTGGAATTATCATAGACATTAAAGGGTCAACGAAGAAGCGGTTGTTCCTCTTGACTGACTAGAGTTGATAGGGACTAGATAACTCATGATTGCTTTGAACCCAAAGCGAAGCAAACGACAAAAGCACTACAGACAACAACAAATGTTGTTCAAACACCTCTACATTGTGCAAATTATTTGTACAGAAAATAAAGCAATTATACAGTGAACATCTTTAAGGCAAAATAATAAATCTTGATGATTTTAAATTATGCTTCTTTCGAACGCTACATGTATATCGAAAGGGATGTGCATATCGAAAATTATATTGCTTGATTTCCTTCTGCAAATATTTACAAAGAGAAACAACAGTTTGCAATACGAAGACACAATGGTGATGATATTGAAAGAGAACAAGTGTAAAATACTATAAAAAGTTCTACCAAAATAGGAACTATTCTTTGTTGATATGAAAATTGCTACGAAAAATGTTAACAAGAAATTACATGGGTCGTTTTAAGAAATTGTAACTGCAGAAAGTTGGCACAGGGATTGAAATGCTTTAGAATGGTGACGAGTCTACTTTGAAGGTGCACAAGTTTTTAGCAGTCGGAATAACAAGATATCTCCGAGATTGCTGATATCTCGGATACTACAGAGCCCGTCTCAGATTCGGTCCCGTCTTTTATACACGCCGACTCATAATGCTTGTTCAGGTATGATTTTAGAGCAAATGATTTGTCACATCTCTTGCATTTATAGTGTTTGAATGCTGAATGGGTTTGCATATGTGCTCGAAGATTTGATCTATCAGCGAAAGCTTTGCCACAGTGTGCGCATCCGAATGGTTTTTCGCCGGTGTGAGACCGTCTGTGACCTTGAAGAAGCCATGGTCTAGAAAACGCTTTACCGCAAATATCGCACTTGTGTTTAAGTTCGTGAGTAAGAATATGCATGGACAATGCAGGCATGCTCACATAAACTTTGTCACAGTGTGGACATTTCTTGGCTGAGTGACTTTCGAGACTTCGATGTGTTTGCTTGTGACGTGAGAGATTCGATGATGTCGCATAATCTTTTCCGCATTCGTTGCAGGTATATCTTTGTTTCAGGGCTTTGGTTGGGATCCCAAACGCGTTCTTTCTTGCTCTTCCATCGCTTACAAAAAACGCATCATAAGTATAACCAACAGTGTGCATATTAGGGAGAGATGTCCGAACTTCAACCTCCAAGTTTTTATCAGGAACTGGTTCGGGAGAGGGAGTTTCTTCAACAAGATTTTCTTCGAACCTATTCCTTGAGTCTACATCATGTAATACGGTGGCCGAGTTTTGTGGCAATGTTGGAACAACAACATCTTGAATGTAACCTAAAATTTACAAGGGATAGAAGTCAGCCATTTAACTACCTACTTTAGAAAGAAAACTGGAATTATATTATATCAAGAAAAAACAGTACCGGTGTATTCTTCATTTTAAATTTGCTACATTATTTTTTGTTTAGTATATCTTGAGTTTACCTTCCCAATCATTGACTAAGACATAAACTTGATCAAGATGGGTGACTGTTGCTTGCTCCTTAAGCAAGCTTAATGGTTGTTTCAGTGATAATTACAAAAGTTAACAATTCCAACTTATCAAACTTCTTTTACACGGCTAGTCGTAAAATGGGGGAATTATGTTACATTCATAACTCAATTATATCAATCTACGACAGAGAAGCGAGATTAGAGAGGCAACAATTGCATCTTTCGAACATTACCGACTGACAGCGCATAACTCATGTTCGGATCATAATATCAATTATCAACAGATTCAGAAGATGATGTTCCCAAAGTTATTTGTAACTGTGTCTTCATCGTCGATGTCTCATTTCTGCACTTCCCAAATATGTCGTTATAGTTATAAGTAGTCTGTTGATCAAAAATTGATTGAAAAGGTCACTGCGTGCTCTCTTGTATTTGACTTCTTATAAGTAATTCTGATTGCTAGAATTAAGATTTTGTTTAAAAAATTATAGATGAATAAATAAATGAAAATAAATATCACAGCATAGATAAAATTAATTAAGTGAAGAAAGAATGGATCATCAGACAGGACTTTGCTTAGTAAGATTTGTTTTCTTGCTAACAAGCGAAAGAAAAGATCCTGGAGGCAAGAATCTCTTTTAACAATCTGTCAAAAATTGACCTTAAGGAACGAAGTCGCACACTTTTGCAACGCCATTCTGGGGGAAAAAAGCCCATTGTAGGGTAAAGCCGTAAGTGCATTGACCAGTATCAAGACTCCCCCGCCGGTGTCAGTGAACTCCCGGCCCGCACTTCCCCTCCACGTTATTTCATTAAAATCTTGATTATTCAACTCTTTCACAACAGAAGAATATATTATGCACAACTTTTGTTCTGTTGTCTAAGTAGTCGGCTTCTTATGGTAATCTGAGCCCTGTTGAACAATATTTCGTCGTAGCTTGGAGTAGTAGTTGCGTTACGTTACAATAGACATGCATCTGTGAAGCGTTACAGGAACAAACGTTTTTCATACTCTGACAACTAACCTTATAATTTTAATTATTTATTAATGTCTTTTCATTTTCCTTGGTGAAATTCTTTTCAAACAAAAGGGGATGCGGGTCATAAAACAAAATTGATTTTCCTTTTTTTTTTTAAGGATCGCGCATTCTATGTACATTTTAGAAGAGAGAAGGTAGAAATAAGCATCTTCTTTCAGTATTTAACAGAAAATGTAATAAGGTATAAAAGCAAGAATCATAGAACTAAATGAAATATACCCTTTATGCATGTGAATATTCCACAATCGCATTTAAACTTTAGTATATGTCAGATTCGTTTTTCGTACATTTTAACGAAAAATTGCAAATTAATGATTCCAGTAAATACAAAGAAAATATGAGCAAATATATCAAATTAATAGACACATCTTAAAGATTATAGCATCAAAGTAAACTCAGGTACATAGAAACAATGATTTATACCGGTGAAATAAACTTGAAATTAAAAATCAAACTGCTAAAAAATTAATTTCTTTCTTTTAATTTCTTTTCCTTTTTTTTTTAAATAAACAAGTCAAAATAACAGCTGATTTTTTTTCCACAAGGTAAACTCAAGCTCAAATTATTGATAAAATATTATCATTACTTAGAAATAAAGTGATTAAAGAAATATACATATTACATACTGTGCGACAATCCATTTGCCAATCTTGGTAGATATGTTACAATTTATGAGCTTTTAAACACTCTGTAGACTTAAATAATATGTAGATAGTTACCGTTACTGATGCGGACAGACAGGGGCTGTACCACCGGGGTGAAGGGTGTAACTGCCTTCAGACTCGCTACGGACTCCTCAAAAACGTCCCTGATTCGGTACTGGTTTGGTTGGCGATCCTCATCACATTTCACTTTCTTGACTAGAAATGATCGTGGCATTTTTTTGACTGTCACTTCAGCTTTAACAAATTTCAAAAGTTTGGAATCGCCATTCAAGTCTACATTTCGGAGTTTTCTTCGTGTAAGTTCCAGAAGAGTTTTCGTTTTTGTTTCATGTGTAACTTCTTCCCAGAATTTTGGCTTTTGTCGACATGGTTGTGACTTTGCAGATTTTTCTTGGGGGAAATTCTCTTTTTTCTTTCACAAGTTAAGTGATAAGTTCGTTCTCACGCTTCCATAAACGGTCTTATATACCCGATCGCATGCCAATCAAGCGGCACGCGCCTCCGCGAATCGCAGCAAAGAATTGGCAATATTTGGTATGAATAATTGAACTTGCCCTGAACAATGCGACGAAAGTGGTGTAGCGCGTTGACAAATACAAACATTTACCATTATTCCATTCAATCGTTATTCTAGCTTCGTCATCTGGATCTTTGAATGGAATTTCATTATTTTAATTAGGTGGCATCGGGACGTTGTCTAGACATGCGCAGAAGCATTCTGTTCGCGTGTTGGGAAACCAAGATTTTACAGATTTGGCGAGAGGTGTACAAATTTCAAATTATCTTGATTAATTATTTATTTTAAAATGTGTTGAAATTGCCACAAAAATATTCATAGTTAAAAAAATTTAGCCCCTATTCGGAGAGTCGTTGCTTATAATACGACAATTCTTTTGACCATTTCTATTAGGACAATTAAGAAAAACCGAATTCCTTTTTTTTCAAAACTATAGGATATATTAAAAAGATTTCTTTTCCATTTGTCACCTGACAATGTGTATCAGTGTCTATAAATAATGAAGTAGGTCTTTAGAAAGTTGAATATCGTTACAATTGATTCTTGCTTCATCTCAGTTCTCCTATATAAACAACCACCTGTTGTGAAAACTACCTGTCCACAGAAACTCAATATTTTTTATTCTACCTGTAGCAGTCCTGTTTGCCTATAACGATTAATTTCTTCTGTGATATGAATTTAACGCAAACGCCTTTGTAACGGTGGGAAAATACGTTATTTCTATAGATTTTTTTTTTCATTCTGTCGGATCAAGGATTTGTTTGAGGAATGAAAGATATTAATAAAAAATTAGATTAAACAGTGAAAGAAATAAGGAGACAGAAGTCGAATTTGAAGAAAAATATCATGAAAAACATATCAACTATCAAACAGTGAAAATATGAAGGAACAAAACTCAAAAAATAAATATGTACGTGTAAAATGTTTGTTGTGCAAGATCGAGGCACAACAATTTTATGAAAAAGTTAACTTTTAGGGAAGATGAAATGTGTTTACAATCTCGAATGGAAAAAAATCGATTAAAAGAAATGAAGCATCAATCGAGGCATGATAAAAAATAGCATATATATATATATATATATATATATATATATATATATATATATATATATATATATATATATATATATATATATATATTAGATCAAGTAAGTAAATATATTTATCCGTAAAATACATATCAAGTCTTATCAATTTGACTTTGCGATATGAATTATTTTATGGGTTTATCGAGTAATTTATTCCTGTAATAAGACAGGTAGAGCATTTTTTACAGGTACATTGTACATTACTTTCGTGAAGGCTCGCAGGTGCGCGCAGTTGACATCCCAACAGTTGGCGAGTATAATACATAACATCTCATTTGCGACCAATGCACTCAAGATGCACGTAAATCGAGGCATAACTTATTTAAGGTTACAAAGGACTTTTTTTAATGACCAAGACAGAGCACTTAATGGATGCACCAAGGATGACGAAAATCGGTCACTCAACCTGCAACAGAGAGTGGACGCACATTGTGGACCGCATAACAATTACACTGTGTTACGAAAATAGCCCACTGGACAATACTACATCCTATTTATACCGTTTAATCGTCTTGCACAAGAAAAAGCTGGAAGCTGCACCGGTTGCATGGTCTGCATGTCATACCCAGATTGGGCCATCTGCTTCTGTTCTTTGAATTTCCACCAAAATTAACTTGGATATTATATCCGACCAAAGCTTGTTACACAAAAATTAGCGGCAGAGGGCATGCCCAAAATAATTCTCTTTCATATCAGGATTATATCTATAACGGGTACTTGCAGCAATGGTATTATTTGTTTAATATAGTCTCTGACAGAAAATCGCTTGGCTTTTACCTTTGATGCCAAACTCCTTAGCCTGATTCTTAAGGTCAGTTTAGGCACGCGCGACAAGAATTTCTCTGCTACGCTTTTAACAGATATCCATCTTTTGCTTAGCTAACCTTTATTCGATGATAAAATTTTAAATGGTATCAACAACAAAGCGAACTTGTTACATCAGTCAGCGCAACAGTTGGGAGAAAGCAATGACAGAAGTGACGAAGAAAGAATACAATGACATAACCAAAAACAGATGCCAGCGGCTATTGTTTCCAGAGAAATTGAGAGTTCAACAGTCTTTCCAACATTACCATCCAGAATGGGAAAATTATGGAATCGCAGTGTTAGGTTTCAAATGAATTTTATGATGAAGTTGTGCGATAAGTGCCTCGTATTTTCTGTTCAAAATGATCACAAAAACTTAAAAGAAAATCGACAGCATCGCGAAGATAAAGTAATAACAACCCTTATAAATTTTCAGTTGCTCTCATTCAAACTAAAGCTGATTGAATTTTGTTCATCTTTAATCTGTCAGGCGATCTGTTTGTACTGAGTATTGTTATGACGTATTGTAAATATATTTGTAAAACAGACAATTTATCTTATTGTTAAGGGGGGGGGGGGGGGGACTGTAATGCAGTATTGTTTAAATTGTTAAATTCTCCAGTATAATGACAACTTCTAATTCTTTTTTTATGATCATTATCAAAAGCGTCTCTGAAGTTAACTTTTCGATTTCCAACAGACATACCAAAAACTTTAGAATCTAAATTATACACGGAATTTAATGACGCAATTATCTTTCCAACAGAAATTTTATATCACTTACCGATTGAAAAAAAAAAAGACAGGGAACACAGTGCATACTCGGTTTATTATTTAAAAGAATTATATTATTTTAATGATTCAAGTATATGTGCATTAAATTTAACGTATTGAATCTGAAATTTTAATGATTTTTGTCTCTTCTATTGTCTAATATTGCAAACAAAAAAAAAAAAAAAAAAAGAAAAAGGCAAAATTATTTAAAACAGGTAATTTTAAAATTGTCATCAAAAGTAAGAATGGTTAATAATGATATTTGCATTAATGAAAATTAAAAATCTCAATTTTTTCTGGTTATTTGAAGACCGGCATTCAATTTAGCAAGAATAAAGAAATGTCGGATTGATGAAAGGACTTTGATTTGTACTAAACACGTGCCCCTGCTTTTCATGAATTGTATTTAATGTTATCATCATGATTATTATTAATACATTACTAGAAAAGATACAATGAAATAAAGACAGAGGAGTGTCATTTCAGTGGTGAAATTCCGGGCATATTCTGGTGCCACCTGCGGCAGACGAGTTTGGTCAGTATCTTCTGATTTATAGTTCGGTTTTTAGCTCTTTTCTCCCATCGTTTCTTTATTTTAAAAAATCGTTTTCTTCTTTTTTTAATATATATAAAATAATTGAGTGTTTTTTGTTGTTTTCTTTTTTGTTTTGTTTTTTAGACATCTTTTTTAATTTCACATAAGATATATTTTTTTTAATTTTATCCACTGATAAAATTTACATTTGGGCTAATTCTCCTCCGTTGATAATCAAAATTTTGAAATGAATACGAATATATATTTAGTGTTTCTAGAAATATGAATTTAAATTAAACATTGCATTTAATTGAATGCATGGGTGTTTTGATTTGATAAATGTTTACTATATATATACAATCTTCAGAGAAAAAAAATCTTGTCGTCTTGTATAGACAATTGTACATTTTGCAATATGCATAATTGTTATTTAAATACGAACAGTTTTACAAAGGCATTGGATATCCAGGATAATTTTAGGAGAAGCAAAACTGTCGGGAAAAAGGTAAACTATATTTTTTTTACAAACAGTATCACTATTATTCATTACAGTTAAACTTAAGTCACATTATAAGACGTAGTCTAAATTCAATTCTATACAGATTATATAAAAACTGTAGAAGGAACACTTCCAAAACAGCAACAATGTCTATCAACCAAAATTATTGAAAGAAGGTGAGTATCTTGATGTAGTACAAAATCTACTTTTAATGCGTCGGTTTTTGATCAGGTCAGAGAAAAAAAAACTGCAGAAAAGGTAGAAATATCCTAATATACATGTATAGTATACAATTGTAGCTGATTTCATTCAAATGATTGTTGCAAGTAAATAAAATTATTTATATGTTGACGTAATTAAGTTGCATCTGACAAATGTCATATCTGGACATAGTTTGTCTTTCTTAAGGAAATTATGTATTGAACAATATCTTGGATGTTAACATGTACATACGCTGCATGTTGAAACATTTGCCTGCATATTGACCAATCTGTAAAAGAAAATCAACTTGCTTATAGGGACAGAAGTATACTATACATAATTATACCAAAGTGTTTTCAAGTAGGATAAATCTGCATGGGGAGTAGTATTTCATTTTTTTCCCCTCCAGATTATCAGAGAGACGACAGAAAATTCACCAGTGGGTTACCGGTATTTCTTCTTGAGATCAATTTTTTTATTCAAGTGTCTTAAAAAGTCAAATGCAATGTATTGATATGAACGATTTATTTCTTTACATGATCAAATTCAATTTTTTGATTTACTTAGGCGTATTTTCATCCGCTCTGGTAAAATTAGAATAAAAATTACAGAAGACAGTGTATAGGTCAAACATAATTAGAAATTAAAACTGGCCCTTAAAAAAATCAAATTACAACTACTTATTTTTCAAAGCTATAAAATGAGAATATGGGATTTTGTAGATAGCCGAATGTCTAAATAGCGAACAAAATATATTTCTTTTTGAGATTCATATTCAGATTAATAAGACACG